AAAAAAAACATATATCAATGATGATAAGTAAAATTTACTTATATATGTAAGTAAAATTTATATATATATATATATATAAATTTTATATATATATATAAAATTTACTTATATATATAAATTTACTTATAAAATTTACTTATATATATAAATTTACTTATAGATATATATAAGTAAAATTTTACTTATATATATATATATAAAAATTTTACTTATATATATATATATATATATAAATTTTACTTATATATATATAAATTTTACTTATATATATATTATATATATATATAAAGTTTTTTTTTTTTATTAGCTTATCGGTTCGGTATCGGTTTTACCGAACCCTAATGGCTTCGGAACCGATACCGAACCGATAACTTATCGGTAACCGACATTCGGTTACCGATAAACAAGAATCGGTTCGGTTCGGTTTTTTAGCACATCGGTTCGGTTCGGTTCGGTTCGGTTTTCGGTTTTCGGTCAAAAAATGCCAGCCCTAGTTGAAACAATAAAGTGTGTAGTGTTTTAAAATACAATGTCTTTATTTTCAAGTTATGGAGATTATGAATTTACCAAGATATATCCTCATTGTATAACTCATTTTACAATTCGATTGTACATGTACTAAATATCGTACCAACAATGATACCAAACGAGCCACCGCACAGGTACGCGATTCAACCGATCTTAAATATTTCAACAAATTTTAAATTAATTAATTGTTATAAAATAATAATGTATAAAGCTAACTTTAATAATTACTAAAATTAATTAAAATCTAATAAAAATGAGAACATATTAAAATAAAGTGGAGCTTTAAATTATATAAACTAATTAATAAAAATATATTAAAAATATATTTTTTAAAAAAAATTGGTATATCCAATATTCTAACGATATTTTGACAGACAATTTTCAGTAAAACTGGTATTTTTTGGTATGAAATCAGTATAAGTCGATATATTATTCGAAATGGTATTAGAAGATAACCGTACCGGCTATACCACCATTATTCGATATTACCGACGGGTATGATACATTTAAAACATTTATATAATTTAGCTTAATTGAAAGCGATGAAAAAATTAGAATAGAAAAAAAAAAATAGTTGTTATTATTTTCTGTCAATTCAATAAAAAATCTGAATAAAAAACTATATAATTTTCTTCTATAATTAGAAGTAACTATTTATTTGTTTTTTTTTTAACCAGTTCAATAGCATTGCTTTATTGTTTGAGTTGCATTTTGTCTATTTTTTTTTATCGGTAAAAGTAAATTTATAGATTAAAATTGTGGTTCATACAACCGATAATCGACATACAAAAGCGCAGCGGGCAACCATAAGCTCGGTTCCTCACTCGCGAATAATAATACTACAAGGGCAACCACAAGTCAATTTGCTCACTCAGATCTCTAATCATGACACAAATGTAAATAAGCAGTAGCGCATCCCATTCCCCCCAATGCAAGAGATAAGCCTATTCAAGCCCAACGCTTTTCATTTCAAACTCGACGAGTACATTCGGATACGCGCAAATTGATGCAGATTAAAGCTACGATGGGAACAGAACAAACTCAAAGGAACAGATAATTTCTTAATCGTTTAAAAAACTGTTGTACAATGAAAGAGTCCCCTTATTTATAATATCCTAACCCTACTAAATAAGAAATAATACTTCTACTAATAATAATAAGAATAGTAATAAAATCTCTTATTAAATAAAAACAGTAGATAAATAAATAGCAGTAGCAATAGTGAAACGTCTAAGCCCGACGTCGATCATATTTCTCCAAGTAAGCCAGGGCGATCTCGTCGCCATCATTCTCCCCCGGTTGAGGAGGATTTGCCCTCGAATCTAGGGCGATCTCGTCGTCCGAATTGTCACCAAGATAAGGAATAAGGTGTTTGACATTAAACATGCCCGACGTGCGAACATGCGAAGGAAGCCGAAGACGGTAAGCATTCGGATTTATTTTCTCAATGATCTCAAGAGGACCAATTTTTCGGGCCGAGAGCTTGTTATATTCATGAGCAGCAAAGCGGTCTTTCGTCAATACCGCCCACACGTAGTCGCCAATGTCAAACTCGACAAGCCGACAGCGAGAATCCGCGCCCCGTTTATACGCTGTTGTGACCTCCTCGAGCCGGACACGGGTCACTTCATGCGTGTGCTGCAGCCCCGAGATAAGATCATCAGCTCGCTGATCCGGCTGGACCGAAGGAGGGAGAGCCAGCAAGTCGACCGGACCCCGCAACTGGACCCCATAAACCACTCGAAAAGGAGACAGGCCCGTGGATCAACTGACAGCGGAATTGTGGGCGAGCTCGGCCTGACTAAGCCGTGCATTCCAACTACGCAATGAACATGCTCTGATACCAACTGATGCAGATTAAAGCTACGATGGGAACAGAACAAACTCAAAGGAACAAATAATTTCTTAATCGTTCAAAAAACTGTTGTACAATGAAAGAGTCCCTGATGGAGACGAGACCGCGATCGCCTTTTTAAATAAATACGACAGGCTTTGAGTTTAAGTTATTTATTATTAATTTGCTTATTATGTTATTTCCTTTTATTTTAGATAATTGAAATAAATATCTTGCAATATGTTAGGCAAGATACTAGAATAGGACTCCTTCTCTTATTATTTATTTTGAGAACTACGATGAATGAAAGCAGATTATTATGAATTGAA